AGGAGGGAGATTAAGCTTTCCACAGAACCCATAAACATTTAGTTTGTTGTAACTACAGATTTTAATGGTTCAAAACAGGCTTATACATCTGTTGGAGATCAGCAAAACAAATACCTTGAGTTACCTGTATAAGCTGCTTTCTCTGTACATGTAGTTCTAAATAAGCATGGCATGATAATACTGATCATTTTTTAGACAGGATGTCAAGTTTAGGGTAAATGATGCTAAAAAATATTGTAAAATGGTCCCTAGCCTCTGTCAGTGCAATAAAATGATCACAGCAGGTTTTTTTCTCATCAAAGCAGATGGCTTTAATGATTTTTCAAGCCATGCTTAATTCATCTGCAAACAACAGAGATTGGTTTCCAAATGTGTACTGAAAAAGAGAGATGTTACTGTTCATAAATGCTCTGTAAGTTTGTTTTGCCCCATCATTAGTGGCAAATGGTGTTTACTTAAGGTAAATTATTTTTTGTGAACAGCCTTGGAGTTAGTGTTGCAGTTGTAATAAATTACCTGTAAAATGAAATGAGCATCACCTGCTTAATGTGGCTAGTACAATAGACCTGATGGAATATACAAAATTTTCTATTTTCTTTTAAATTAAAATTGCATTGTAGAAATGACTGCTATGGTTTCCAAATACTTGTTTGTTTTGTACTATAAAACTGAATGTTTTTGGGTTTTTTAATATTTTCTATTGTGAGTTTGTTATTGTTGTCGTATTGTTCTTAACACCAAGTAGAGAAAAACACAAAAACACATGGCCAATTCACATATGCGTTCATGTTTTAAAAATATCTTTGTTTTTGTATTGTATCAGAAGTTAGTCAGAGAACAACTGAAGACCTAGTCTGTATAAGATATCTTACAGGAAGGGAAACATTAAAATACACTGTGTAAATGAAAACCATGATTCCAGATTCTTTATGTCTCCAGAGGAGGAAGTGCAGTTATTCCTAAGATTACATCATTCCTCCGTTTACCTAGTGACTGAAATATAACTGGAGAAAGAAAGTTTGTGTTAAATGGATGTATTTCTGAACATTGAAACTTATGTCTGCTGAGGCTTCCTTGCATTAAAAGCCTCGGTTATATTAATAATATTGTTGCTCCAGGCCATAAAGAAATGGAAAATTTTGTTTCTTTCTACAGATATATACCAAAACTCTAAAAAAAAAGTTTTCTTCTCCAGAACAGGCATTTATCACTTTAGTTGTGAGTAATGTACACATTTAGGCCATTGAAGACTTGTTTTCTTTCTAAACTGATCTTAGTTGAAGTTAAAATATGTTTCATGATTTATGATTGATGGCTTGCCAGCTAAACCATTTAAAATGTAGCAAGAACAGACAAAGGTGTTGGTATGACACTGACTATAATAAATAACATGAGATATGTGTTAAGAAAACTGTGAAATTAGATATTGAAGGGCATTGATGCTTGGGGTTGTAGATGTTCTTGATTTCAAACTGGAATTATAAACAAAAGTGGTACTAAATAATTTCAAAGAACGTTAGAGGCAGGTGGTATTCCTGATATGTGTTTCTTCATAGTCTAGACCTTCATGCTCAAGCTTCATAAAATACTGAAACATGTATGCAATGAATATGAACTGTCCACTTCCTTACTGTGTCATATTTTGTGCTGTTCCCCATCACTCCCATTGAAAGTGTTGTAAAAAGCCTTGGTCCCAACATTACTCAGATCAGAAAAGGAAGTTCAGGGCTATGCCTATACAGAACTTGGGTATGCAGAACAGTCAAGCAGAGGTGAGGACACCTGACTAAATCTACATAAAAAAGGATTTGTTGACCACTCTCATTTCAGACCATGACTTTCAGATTTTTCAGTCCTGGTAAGTTCTGTGGTAAGAGATACATAGGGTTTATGTGTCAATATAAAATTTTCATTAGGAAGACAATAGAAAAGATCTCTTCCAAATAATCTTCTTGTTGCACAGTTGGAAAGAATATTTTAAAATCATCCTTATTTTGAAACCTTGCTGATACAACATTATTCATGCTGTCAGTTGTCTGGGAGGAAGATAGCAAAATTGTGACATTTTTGAGTCACAGCAATTAGTTCAGTTATCTAACAAAATACAAGTGAGAAAGAATGGGCCAGAACAGAAATAATCCTCAACATGTCTTTCAATTCAGAAGGGAGGTCAGGGTTAGAAACATTGCATTTAAGATGTCAGAGACAGTGTTAGAGAGCATAATTTAGCAGTGACGTTCATGGCTAGTGCCAGGAAAGCAGCTGGCATCCTACAAGAAACACACTTGAATAGAACATAGTTCAAGACACTCAAGACCTTTCTGAGAAGTGAAAAGCTAGATGAAAATACAGCCTCAGAGTATAAATGGATGATCTGTCTAGCACTGTGCTGTTGACATTCTGTTAAAAAAAAAAAGATAACCCACAACAAAACCCACAGTTGGAAGGTGGGAGGAGGGGACGTATCCTGCTAAACTGTGAGTTTCAGTAATAAGGCTTCACTAAGAAAAGTGCAGCATAACTAAATTTAACATACATTCTAGAAGAGCAATCAAATCATATAGCCAGAGTTTCAGTGAATTATTCATGTGAAACCTGATGAGATAAAAGGACTGACATGAGAGAACACCATAAATAACATACTGTAAAAAGACTGAAGACCAAAGATCTAGGCTTTCATCAGCAGATATAAGGCAAAATTCTCTTTTGGAAATGGTGATGGTTCTTCACTCAGTCTAGTCAACTTGCATTTTCACAGTTTTTATCTGGGAAACTGACAGAAGACAAATTTCCTAGCAGACAAATTTAGTATTGCTAACTTGGTACTAAACTAAATCTTGCCAATTCCTTAATTTTCTCAAATTGACATTTTGCTGAACAGGATAATAAATATGGGATCTTGTTGCCATTGCCAGTGAGTGTAAACACCAGAGTGATCTCTCCTATTCAGTCTATAACCCACACAACACCTTTAACCACTTCTTGTATTTGGCGTAGGATCAATGCCTCCTTGTGTGAGTCACAGTGCTTTTCTTCATCTGATCTTCTAGGTTAGAGTAGAGAGATGTAAAGCACACACTGAAAGACTGAAAATCACTTTTCTGGGAAAAATGAACTTTTTTTTTTTAATATGTCTCTGCTGCAAAAAAATAATGTAAGTGAAGCAGCACTTTAAAAATAGTGATAATCCACTACTGCAATGGACTTAGTGTCAGTAGTGTAAGTGCTGCATTGACTAAAAGTCCATCTCTTCCCTTCCATAGCTGTGTTGCTCTTACTGGGACTTTTTGGTTGTGGTGACTAAGACAGTGTTTTTCAAGCTTTTTTTTTTTTTCCTGACCTTTGCATGCACACCTGAGTGACCTTTGTCAGCATCTGCCAAACTGCAGCAGTAACTATCTGATTTATTGCTTCTGATAAAAAAGGACACCTATGCTAGTGTAGTTCACCAAAGCCAACCTGAAAAAGGTTGTGAAATATCTTTACATTCTAGATGTGTTATGGTGTGGTGTGAATGCTTGACAAGGTGTAAACCACTCTCCTCCTCAAGTATTTGCATTAGTCAGCGTACTTCTGACTATGTTGGGATGGGTTGCAGGCATAGTCCTTTTTTTCTTTGTAAACAAATACTAATATACAGGGAATAACAAAGCATCTCTGACTTCAACAGATTCTTTTGGTATAAATAATCAGACCAAGGTGTGTGGTGGCCCACTGAGTGAGTTTCCACTGATGGGAGTAAAATAGAAATCACAGTGAATTGCAGATTATGTTGGTGTAGTGTAAATGCTGGATTGTTCTTATGTTTAAAGTTACATATACTTTGCTTTACTACACCAAAGTCAAAACGCCCAGCACTTTGTAAACCCAAAGGGCTTATAGCATCTAAACTAAATCTAGTCATACTATTTTCCATTAACATGTTTATTCTGTTGAAAAATGCTGGTTTCACACATAAAAAAGGCAGAAAAAGAAACACAACTACTTTATCAATATGTTATAATAACTTATAATTTCATTATAATGATTTATTTTGTTAACTTATGTAAAATTAATTTATTTTTAGATAAATTTAATATTAAACAGTAATTTCTGACTTAGCTTTTTGTGAAAAATTGTTCAGGCAACACAATTTTACATGGCCTAGGTTGTTTAGAGTATTGTCTTTTCTACATTGGAAAGGAGAATTCCACTTATCACAGCATCTTTGGGACTCCAGAAAGAGTAGAACATTGTCACATGGCTCACATGAATTTGTAAGACATATTCAAACCAGATTCACTGCTTCAAAGAAGGAAAAATGTCTTCCAGCTTCACTTCTAATTGGTATAATGAAATTGCTTGATGCTAAAATGGCCAGAAGGAAATTGCTTCATCTTTAGTACTATGATTTTTTTTACACTATACTGTGTGAGTAGTTCAGTTTTAAGTTGTCACCCCAATTTGAAATAATGATAAATATTTATCATTATATGTTATTTAGCTTTATAGGTTATTGCCTTTAAAGCACATCCCCACTCCTACCTAGGTCTCAAAAACTTTTATTCCTGGTCTGTCAGAGCTATTGTATCTTAGTGAACATTTTCTAAACCAGTGAAACAGCCTCCCACAGCCCATTTGGATTGCTGTGGTGGGCCAGTGCTTAGTTCACTGCAATGCAGTGGTAAGCCACAATGTCTCAAGAGATACTGGACTCTGGAATGCAAAGCCAGTGTTTGTCATTTTAGTCTCCTGTACATTGCCCTGAACATTTTGGCATTTTTACATTGCACCGAACAGCTCTGCCTGCCCCAAGGAGAAGAGTCAGAAACTAACCTTGGTTAATCATTGGATTGATTCTTCGGGCAGCTCTCAGCTGATACTCCTTTTCTTAATCTATTAAGTTATTTCACAGGCTTTCTATTTATAATGCATTTAATGTCCCCTACTGGTGGTTTATTCGTGGAGTATAGTGGTACAAAAATATGTATTAGAAGCAGACAATATTAGTCCTAGATGTACTTTTAGTCTCTGAATTTTATTGAGCAATTGTTTCTCTTGCCTGCAGGCACTGATTCATTACAATGCAATCCAAAAAACAACCTTGGATTTCAAATAAGTAACTGAGGTCAGAAATTTGGCACAAAACTCTTAAACCAATAGTGGAGGAAATTACTTTATTACAGAGTTAGGCTGATATTTTCAGAGGCAAGAATAACTCCCATTAACATTGTTGGCGATCACACAGCCTAATCCCAAGCACGTAACTTAGAAAACTTCCCCCTGTGTGGACAAGTGTTCTCAATGAGTTTCTAAATTTATAGAAGCCTCAAAAGCCCATAGTCTCTTTGTTTTGTTGTTAGAGTCTGCAGTCAATTCCCAAAGGTAGGACTCCAGCATAGCAACAAGCAGCATTTTTATTAGGCCAACATTCAGCAAAGTAACATTGTTTATATGATATATTTTTATTTTTACACATAATTTTCATGATTCCATTTTAGTTCTATTCCCAATAGATGTCTGAAGTACCATTGCTCTAATCTCTACTGACTAAGAAAACATGCAGTAGATTAGGCAGTGGTAATGGTTACCAAGTGTGGGGCCCCTGCTGTTGAATTCAAATGACAAGCTCATCATGAGTTGTTTCTGATGTTCAGCTGTTTTACTTCAGTATTCTCCAAGAAGCAAAGTTGGCAAGGTCTCCGCTCTGAGAACAAAGTGACAAGATAAGAAAAGTCAAGGCCCAAATCACAATTTTCACAGCTCTAAAGATTCCAGGAAAATAACTTCTTTGTTAGTATGATCTGCTTTTAACTTTCAAGGACAGCATGAAAATTACTTTTAAAATAACAGCAACATCAGCAAGAAGTTGCCATGACCTATAAGCTTGTGTAATAATATCCATCCTCTATAGTTCAACAGTCTGTCTGAAATCTGAATGCAAGTCAGGCTTGTGGTACTGCCATGTCTTGGAGCAGCAGAAGCTCCTTGTGGGACAGTTTTGTTCTTGAGTAATATAAAATTGCAAAAGCTGTTAATGTGGCAGAAAGAGAAGAAGCTGGAACCACTATCTAACATCTGGATGTACCTGAAGAAGTTCCCATTTCTCAAAGAGGTGCGGTATAAATTTTTTTATCTTTTTTTTTTTTTTGTATTGGGGTTTCTATTAATTCTATTTAGATAAAATGCAGAGCCTCACACTCCTCATCTTCACAAAGACAGTACTTTCAAGCTGTCTGCAGAGAAATATTGAGTCAGGGAAACTAGCAACTCCTTTGTGCTTCCCATCTTCTGGTTTTGAGGCCCACCTTTGTACATTTGTATATTATATACATAGGTATATTCCAGAGGCTCCTGAAACATTGGTCTGCTTGTTGCTGGCTGTCAGGCTTTGTATTCAATTACCAGGAAGAAATATTCCCTGGGAGGGAACATGTAGAGAAGAAATAGTAATGTTTGCAATGTTATAAATAAATAGGATGCAAAGAAGAGTCTTCTAAATTTCTGCTGGTCCTAGTTGTAGTTCAAGCAATAGAGATTATTGTGTGATCAAGAGTGATCCTTGAATGATGGATATGCCAGTATCTAGCAATGTGGTTCCACTCATTTGCATTTTAGTATGAAGATCAACAGTCCAGCATTACCAGGAGTGCTCAGGATCCCAACTTTCTCCAAGGAGGTAGAGAGTGCTGCTCACCCAGTTCTTTGGGGGGCTGATAAAACCAGTCCTGAAGCTGTGTGTCCACTGTTTGGTTGATGTTTTGGGAAGGAAGCAGTGATGGCTACAATGAGGTGATGGAACCCGACAGGAGCAGATATAGTATGGACAAGAGAGGTAACCTGGATGGTGACAATTAGCAGGGGTGGAGACCTACAGCCTTTGACTGAGAGTAGTGGTGTGTGGTTACTGTTGTTTGGGTTTGGCCAGGACAACAGAAAGTCTATTTGGTCTTGATAGAGTGAAAGACAAATATTTGAAGTGAGATAATATTTGACTGAGAAAGACAAATAGGGTGTGGATGATGAGTTACGTATGAAAGGAGATAGGAAATCTCTGGAAGTCATGCAGGACAGGTGGGTAGGCCAAGGAAAGTGAACAAAAAAGCAGTCGATAGCTGACAGGATGGAGAGGATAAAATAGTAGAAGGGAGGAGTGCAAGTGGAAGTTCTTATAGGTAAAGGAATATGAAAATTCAGGAGTGTCCAGTATTTTTGATGACACTGGGAATAAAAAGGTAATAATTGACTGAGAAAGCCACTGTTGTGGTTGATCAAGGTATTGTCCTGCAAATTATCCAATAAGCAGAGAGACATAACTCCAATAATGCTTTTTACTTTTTGTTTGTTAGCTTGTTTGGTCTTTGGGTGAGGTTTTTTTGTTCCCAGAGAAGCCATTTTGAAAAGAATTTTTGCTTTTCTATTCTAAAAAATATAATTTTGTGAAGACTCTGGGAAATACAGATCTGTATATTGATCCACTCATACTTACTTTTAGCTGTGTTGTTCAAATGAGGAAGTAATATTTTTTTGATGCCATATCTTAATAAAACTTCTGGAACCCTCTTATTGTAAATTCTTCATCATTTTAATTGCACAGGGTACAATAATTTGTATCTGTACAGAAGTACCTTAAGAAAGAACTGTGTCACCAAAGAAAGTCAGTTCTCTAGCACCAAGGTTAGATTAAATATTTGCTACATATCTGTAGCAAGAGCCACTTTAGTGATATTGTTGGCTTTTACCTTTCAGAGTTACCATGTGTACTAGGAAAGGTGATGCAGAAGGATCAATCTGGGCTTAGCCTCACTTGTGTCAATTTCCCAGCTTCTTCCTGAAAGGCCTAGTCCCTTCTGTATTCATCTCAAAGCTGATATGTGCAAATATCTTTGCAGTGATAATAAATACATTCCTGGTAAAGGGGAAAAAGTAAATTAATTTCCTCTGAAAGATGAGCTTGGTTATGAACAGTTCAGGTTTACACAGTAATTATCTAAATTCTAGTTTTTAAGAAAGTTCATTCAAGACCTCAAGACTCACTCTTTAAGATACTGTCTACCTAGTTTTTCAATGATGCTAGTTAAAGAATGTGTACTGATTCATAAGACATCCCATTAGAATGCATATGGAGCTCAGCTATATAGCTGGAATGAAGCAAGATGCTATGAGCACCACATTTGAAAAAAGCCAGATCGGTGTCAGTTTGGATAATTTTCACATAATCAGCATGTCTGAGGTTGGACCAGACCTATGGAGGTCATTTGGTTCAAACCCCCCACTCAAGTGGGACTCCCTGGTGCCAGTTGCTCAGGACTGTGTCCAGACACCTTTTGAATATCTCCAAGAATGAACACTTTTGAGTTTCTAGAAGTGCTCCACCCATTCCCCTTTGTATCTGTTACTGAAGGAGCAGGCTGTACACCAACATGCACAATGTGTCACAAAAAACTCACACGTGGGCTCAAGTGCTTTGGTGTGAGCATGTATTTGCCCCATCCCTCAGAGCATTATTTTACAGTGGTGCACAACTAGCCAAAGTCACAGCTCTGCCCCAGCCTTTAAAATGAAAATTATCTTCTGCTGACTCAGCTCCATGAACTAGCTCAGTGCCAAATCACAGAAATGCCAGCATGGGTGACAAGGAGGGATTGAAACTGCATGGCCAGGAGAGAGATGAAGAGTAGACAGGATTATTGTAGATTGTGTTCAAGTATGACTTAACAGTCACAAATGACATAAGGTGAAGAATAGAAAAAACTATTGAAAAATATGAAGTACAGTTTATTCCCCTCATTAATGAAGAGCTGATTGGTCTCTCAGTCCACAAAGTGCCTCTGTCATCTAAGTAAGCAAAATATTAAGATATCTTTACTGAATTTTTAAAATAGTCATTTGTAATTGCAGAGTAGGGTAGAACACAGTATAAATAACAATAATAATCATATTGATATCTAGATCTTTTCTATTCAAACTTACTATCTTCTTTGGTTGATAGCCTTAGGTTTTTGTTGTAAGAGTTTAAGCATTTTTCTTCAAATATCATGGACAAATTGAAGCTAAAGTATCTTTTCTCATTCCCTGTCATGCTCAGCTACAAGAGTCAAACCAAGTGACTGCAGTGACTTCTGAACTAACAAATTATGTTACTAATGTGAGCAAATATTGTAAGAATATAAAATTGGTTAGATTGAAGAGATTGTTGAATTTTGTATTTCAGCTGCTTTGGATTTTGCCAAGAGAAATTTAGATATTTCTTCCCTAATGCCATGTATATACCAAATTCTTTTTCTTTCCTGTTATTTCTTTATAGAAATATCATTATTCCAACCATATCACTTTTCAGTGTAGAGACCTACATGGGCAGTGATTTGTGAAGGATTACTTGCAAAGCTTACACTATAATTGTCTGAAGAAAAAAAAAAAGAGAAAATAAAGCTTACAGTAAGGTAATGTACACTCATCAAATTGATTCTACATGTGGAGTTTCAAGCCTGCTGTGTTTGCACAAAAATATTGTTTCAGTTTTTATATGTCAAAGAAGAATAATCCATCTGCAAATAAGGATTTACTTTAAGCTGTCTTGTATATCAAGATTTCAGCAAAAAAACTGATAACTAAAATTTGTAACTTCTATTGTTGTTATTATACTTAAGGGTAAAGAGGCCATTTTAAACCTATGACACCAACGAAATTTCTTATTATGATTAGCATACTGATAGCACAAGTATGTTTGCACACCCCCTGTTCTAGATACTTTATAAATCCTGAGGCTTAAACATCAAAGCTGTTGTTCACTGTGTGCCTGACCAAGGGGACTAGGTACCACCATGTTCATATAAAGAAAATAGGTAGGATAACTAATCTCTCTAGCTACACCACTGTAATCCTCTCAGATACAGCCTCACTGCAGTGAACTGAGACTTGTAGCACATCAGCTGTGCTCGGTTCCCTGTTGCACTGCTCTAGCTGGAGCAAAAACATCACTTTATGCATCACTCCTATAAATATAGGGTCTGCTAGAAATGTAAAAGAAGAGTTTGCAGTAAAGCTGGCACATGTCACTGGAAAGCATATGCACTCTAGAGGCAATCAAGTGGTTTCAAAAGTGAATGCCATAGGAGGAGTGTAAGATTTGGTCTTATCATCTGTCTATGCAGCACAGTGAAGCGCTGATGCAGTGAATGGTGTGCTGTTTGCAGCTCTTTGTGCTCTGTGAGGTTTCACTGTCTTTAAGACTGATGTAACTTCTGTTCATCTGGTACTGCAATGTACTGACTTTCATTTTCTCCCTGTGGGACAATCAGCCTTTTTTATTTGGGTTTTGCACTTCTTACCAGTATCCAGACACTGTAAGTCTTAGGTAGATCTATATTAAGCCTCCATAAGCAAAATTAATATTTACCTCCTTCCTTGGTTGTACCAAGGATGAGGAGCAAGGACTTTACAAGTCCTTCTTACTGGAAGGGTTACATACTCCTTCTTACTGGAAGGGTTAAAAGTGAAAACTAACAAGATAGGCTCTAAACTTTCTAAGTGACAGGTACCAGCCTGTCTTTCTTGAGACTCATCATAAGCCAAAGAGGCAGTGCAGTCATGCTCCAGTCTGCTGCTGGATATTTATGCCTAGATCTGATCTTTATAGCATCAGAGCTCTGTAATAATAACATAGTTTTTGTATTTCTCCATGGCTTTGATAATTTTGTTGACCTTCTTGATCAGATCCTCAAGGGCCACCTCACTTTTAGTTCATTGAACATTAGATGCATTAAACCCAGATGCAAGCTGGACAGACAAATAAGTTTGAGGACTGAGTGAATGTTTTCTTTGCTGTGTACTCTCCCCTGGCCTTCTTTTTTAGGTGATCCTTGACTTTCCTTACTTTTATCACTGTGGTAAAGGTTTCAGCCATGTATTTTTCTTCCCTATTTGCATATTTCAAACAGACAGCCCTATAGTACTTCAGTGCAAGGCTTGTTCTGGTGAGCTTCAAATTGATTATAAAGCAGTTTTCCTATTGACTTCACTTAGATTTAGGTCAGGTCTAGATGCTGGGATGGGATATATATTTAAGGATACAGAGTTATGCAAATTCCTGTATTTGAGAAATAAGAAAGTAGGGGATGATCCTTTCCCACAGTTACCTGCCTCTTATGAGTGAAGTGTAAGGCACTGTATGTTCTACATGGTGCTGTCCTGGGCACCTGAAAATGCCATCTGGTCTAGGCAGTGTTTTTAGTTTCTGAATATAATTGTTGGTATCACATAGCATAGGCATGTAACAATTTGTCTGTGAACTCTGGATTTCCTTAAAGGAGTGTCCCAGGCTTAAGTCCAGGCATAGAAAGTCAGGGCAAAGGGAGGGAAGAATGGGTAACAAGTGAAGAGAGGCAGGTAACTAATAGCAATAATTCTTTACAGCCATAAGACCCTCTGAAATTTGGAATGAACATTTAAATATTTCTACAGGTGTTAATGTTGCAAACAGGCATTTGTTGCAGTGAAATGGAAGCAAAAACAATCAAATCAAACAGCTCTCTTGCTTCTAAGCATCATATCTTGCTTGGTAGGTCTGAACTTTTGACAACCTAAGTATTAAAGTTGCTCATTTGAAATCACATGATCTTTTTCCAAATAATAGGTCAGAGACTGAGAAAAAGAAGAAAATAAAGAAGAAAAAAAAAAGGCAGTAAATAAAAGGATTCTTTATTCTATTATATCTCTTTTTACCTCTCTCCTTCTCTCTTTCTGCTTTCTTGCTCCACCACTTGACTATATCATACTGTGTTGCTGGTTGCTGAGGTGCTGCTTCACCTTCTGCAATGTTGCTTGATCTTTGGTTTCCTGTGAAGCACAATGAATCTTACATTAGAGTGTGCAGAGTCAGGTGGTGCACCATCTGTTCCCAAGCTCTGAAAACACTGAGTAACAGAGAGCAGCAGAAAGCAACAGCTACACCAGTTTCATCAGAATATTCATATTCACACAGTAACAAAAAAACAGATGACTCTTATTTTCAAGCAGAAAAAAAAGCATTTAGTTTTTGAAGTTACCTATTAAATCTAACACGCTGGGCTGGTTTTCTTTCATTTTGTTAAAATATGCTTAATACTCATTAATATGGCTCAGTCATAAAATATGTTAACCAATTCATACTGCTTAAGTGATTTAATGTTATGGAGGCCATGTGACATGGGTTGCAAGTAGTGTGAATTTAACTGTAGTTAATAATATCTGTGCATGCAGTGACCAAAAGACTGGTGGAAAACTATGGTACTAACATTGTGAGGAGCAAGTAATGAAGAGGATTGGTAATTCCCTAGCCACCAACATATGATAATACTTCTTTCTTTTAGTGTGCACTAACATTCTGTTGAGAAAGCATTTTGTACCCCTGACTTAGCCTTAGAAATCTCTGTGCTACCCTACTAAATATTGATTATGAATCATAGGCTAGAACTATTTTAATTATATATTTTCTTAACTGTGGTTTAATCAGACAAAAGAGAAATACCGTGAGTGCCCTAGAATATGCTTATTGGCTGAGAGTAAATCAGTTACAGTCAAAGTTGCTAACAAATATGCCTCTAATCCTTCAAGGTTCCTCTCCATAATAATGCTAGAACAGATTAAGTCAGATTTACAGAAGTCCAAAATTGCTTTAACTACTTTGCTAAACATTGTGCTTATTATAGAAGAAACTAAAAGAAAGATTTATCACATTTTTAGAAACCATTTAAAAAGCTTCATTGATCTTCCTGCACTTTAACTTTCTGACACTCTTGTTTTGAAGCACTATATTACAAGAAGAATATAAATGTTCAAAAATAAAATTGCTTCTGCCAAAAAATGAGGAAGTCAGGGAAGAAAGAAACACTGTTTTGCTTAGCACTGGTGCATCACTACTCTCTCTAGTGTCCTCTATCTCAATACACAGCACTGAAAATAAATTGTATCTCATGGATAGGGTTGCCTATTCCCAATTGTGTTTATGATTTGTTGAATGATCTTGAGAATTTGCTATGTGCTATAGTTCATCCAAGCATGAGTAGAGACAATGATGATTGTATATACAATGATTTTGTATATGCAGGATTTTTGACTCAGAAATGTTCACATATTTTACAACCACCTTACTTAGCTTACTCCATAATTTCATTGAGGGATTACATATGTCTAGCTGGCAACCACATATAGCATTGTATAATCATATAATGCAAAATGTGTTCTAATACTTGTATTATTTTACATATATGCTTAAGGGTAAAGAGGTGTGTATGTGCTATATGGATTAGATATATAATGTGTATAAATGTAGCTATACAGATATACAAATATACAACCCCCCATGATATGCAGTAAGCTTACTGCATGGCTGTAAAACATTTGAAGATACCTGCATCAAAGACATTGTACCAACCCAAAGTGAAAAAACCCTCCTACTTTAAAAAAATGCTGAGCCACTCACTGTGGCAAACAGGGCAATGGGGGGGAAAAACAGGTAACTCAAAAAGCTGACACAAACATGTTTTGTGTCTTGGCAAATGTTGGTTGCAAAATTGATTTTGCATTGTCTGAGTTTGGAATGGTTAATGTTGAGATCAAGCTGCTAGTCTGCAGAGGAACTAAGACTTTTGGCAGATAGGAATAAACACAGCATGTGCTAGTAAAATGCAGGACAAAAAAAGATCCCAAGTCCAGTTAAATTAGGGATAACTTCTGATTTTCAGCCTGGACAGTGCTTAGTGCCCAGCTGGCTCAGCCTTACACTTCATGGCTAATCAGGATGATCAATTAAAATATTTCTCATTGCTTAATGTGCAAGTATGTCCTAGATCAATGAGGCTTAGAAGTCCTATAATCAGATGTCCTAAGCTTTTAACCTTTAATAGTTGAGCTGTAAGAGATGCTTCCTCATTCTTCTTGAAGCCTTCAGTAGCATGCATCAGTTTATTCTTTGCTTGTTCACTGATCATCTGAATGTAAGTGTCTGACCCTGTGTTTGCTGACCTAAACAGCAATATTTCCATTGAACTCAGTGGATTTGGGTGCACTGTTGCTGCCTGGGGGTTGGACATCTCTGAAGTGATGTAAGCATGGGTGTTGTATATGCTGGAAACAAGCAAACAGCCAGCCAGAGATAAGCTGTTAGCAGGATGGGTTTGCTGGTTCTGCAGCCTGTGTGGCAAAGTTTGTGAATATAAAGCACTGTACAGACAATACTGAGCTACCCCTAAAGAAGGAATTAGGATCACTCCACCTGCAACACTGAAATGGTTTTCCAGCATTGGAACAGGCTGCCCAGGGAAGTGGCTGAGTCACCAGCCCTGGAGGTATTTATATGCATAGATGTGGCACTTGAGGACGTGGTTTGGTGAATGTGGCAGTGCCGGGACAGTAGATTCCATGACCTCAGAGGGCTTTTCCAACCTAAATGATCCTGTTATTCTATCTGCAAGTTTCATCATGGCTAATTTATTTTTCTCTGAAAAGCAAATGTAGGATGTCTATCTTCTTTGGCTCTCCTACAGCTATAGCATAATTTGGAAAGATTTCAGAAGCAAGGAAAAACAGCCTCTGGTATAAAAACAGGTTACTGAGGCAGAGTCTGGTCCATGAATTTTTCCATGCTCCCACTGGAGGTCTGTGTCAGAACTAGAAATCAGAGACAAATAATGCTGTATCAAGATTATTTGAGCCTTATTCCTGTTCTTCTTATGGCAAAGAATCCTTGTTGTGTGTTAAGAAATGAACATCAATACCACCCCTCAAACTCCCCAGTCATGCATTTGTTCACCAACCAAATTTCATCCCATTCAGCTGGGACCAAGGTCTGGATTGAGCCTTTCTGTACTCTTTTTAGATATGAGCTGGATTTCTTGAACAATGCAGTGATGACTGGAAAAAGTAATGTTTTCCAAGAGCTAGTCTCACAATCAATCAATTTAAGGTTAACTGACCTGATTATTACATTTTTCTCTCAAAGTGAGGGTAGAAGGTGTGTGTGACTCTGTAAGTGCAAAAGGTAGAAAAGAGTTTATTCTTAAGTTCCCTCAAGATGCTGTGGGATGTCAGCTTCTGTTCAGCAACTCCTGGGGTTGATCATGTCAGCAATTGCTATGGACTGATCTGAACTCTGTTGCAGAAGTGTCTGGGGTGGGACTATGTGCAAAAAGCATCCAGTTGTAGGGTAATGGCACTGAAGGCAGAAGTGAATACATTCTCTGGGAAGAGAATGGACAGAGTAGGGAGGGGTAGCAGAGATGGTGTGAAATTGGACTGATACGTATATCTCTTTGGATTTAAAACTTTAACCACATAATCTTTTTCTATGTTGATTTTCAAAGTTTCATTATGTACTGCAATAGAAGCTTAAATTAAAATTTATGCTGACCCATTGACTTGAATAGGTGATGGCTCTGAATTTCAGGGAGCTGAATTTGCCTGTGTTCACATTTCCGTCAATTACAATGTCAGCAGTTTTAATTTAGAATAATATTATCTGGTACATATTTATCTTTCTGTGCCAAATAAGATCTCCATGGAGAACCTGAAAGATTGTGACATAATTAGTAGAGACAATTTCCAAAATGCCAGAAGTGAATAAAGTTGCAGGCAATCCCCTCTTGAATTTACCTGCCAATTTTTTTTCTAAAATGTGTTATGATTCCCATTTGTTTAATATTTATGAAAAATTACAAAGTACTTTCTAGTAACTATGTTCTGCATTAATCACATTTTTACTATTATAACTGTTTATGACTTAATTAATTAATTATCATTAATAATCTAAATAATGTTTGCATTTATTAATTCTTAAGTATATTAATGAATTAAAGGCAATTTATAAAAAAAAGTGGAAGTGAAATATTTTGAGGCCCAACTGCCTCTCAGATTTATTGTAAAAACTTTGCAATGATAGATGCAACTGAAATTATCCCACAGATGACAAGCTGTCCTGCAGCAGATTTCAGAGGTCTGCCTGACACAAGATGCCAGCAATCTCTACCATCATGGACCAGGCTCTAAGCCCCAGCTGAGATTTCACCAGATTGGACATGTTGTGTCTGAAATGTCAAAATGTTACTGAATCATCATTCAAACTAGGGCTAGGATCAATCCTGCTCAATAAGAGATTTCGGAATGCAGCAATTCATTTTATGACCAATGCATTAATAACTACTTTAATTCAAATATAGGCTAACAACTGGCTTCTCGCTGACAAGAACATTAGAAACAATTTTGCTCCTTTTGGCCACATGAAGTCAAAGTCCCATATCACCCTCATATTTTGGAAGGTAAAATCACATCAATTGTTCATTCTACTATAAATTACCTCTTAAAAAATTTAACCTCATTTTGGGCCCTACCACATATGCTTAAGGAGCATAGTGTATCTATTCTTGAATATATAGATTCAAGTTCAGTTTGGAATATATATCAAAGGTTTTATACACAGTAGACAAAACCCCTTTTTTGTCAAGATATATTTCCTTTATCCAAAGCTAATAACTAGTTTCATTTACATCAGCTGCAGACTGTATGTGCAAAGCTGACACTGAGATTTTGCCTTTTTTGACTGAAATGAGGCAGGTGAAAGGAAAGAGAAAAAAAACCCCAACAGCTGATTTTAGAAAAATTCTAACTGGATGGTGTTCATTTTGCTGAAAAAATTCTTGCTCCATTTTAACGCAGTTGATCTTCCTTTTTGACATGCCATATAATCTTCTGAGAAGACAGAGCATGTCTTGAGATTGTTACTGCAGTATAAAAATCATAATACTGCTTTACTGGGGTTGAGTTAGAGCAGCAACGTGCAATATGTTGTCAATGCCTAGAAACCC